TGCTGGTAGCCACTACCCACATTTACTCACACAGGTTGTTCAGGAAATGGCAAAAGTCATATTTCGGAAAATTCTCTACCCGCGATATGGCATCTCGGATTAGATCCTGAGATAGAAAACAGGCATTTGTGTGAAAACTGGTGAAGTCTGAGTAAATCTGTAATTTAGTCAATAGTAACGAACCAAAGTTAATGTTTTAATTTTCACGAAGGTCTCATAGCTACACAAGTTGTTAACACCAGGGGAGCCTGGGTGCAGAGCACCATCATTGCAGCATTTTTGTAAGTCCACAGTCACGCCGAATAAAAAGTGCATTAAAAATAAATCCCAGTTCCAAACTCTTATTTCCACAAGGTACTAGATGAGCAAGGGTCAGTCTGTGATCCAAGCGTCAGTGGTCAGGCTGGAGGGTTCACTGTCCCGACCACCAGCTCCTACTAATATTCAAGCCTCTCTCCCCAAGCCTGGCCCAAGCCCTGCACTTGCCCCTGCACAGCTGCTCTTGTCCTCCTTGGTTAATTTACTAATTAGATTTTATTTTATTTATTATGGGGGAGGTGATTAGGTGTGCTTATTTATGTATTTACTTATCTATTTATTTATTTACTTTAATGGAGGTGCTGGGGATTGAACCCAGCACCTCATGCATGCAAGGTACGTGCTCTATCACTGAGCCATACCCTCCCCACTCCCAGTCCTGTATTGTTATTTTATGAAATATTGAGGCTTGTCTTTGCCGGCCCTTTCTCTGGCCCCAGGTCTTTGCCTGCCTGAGTCTGTCTCCACAAAAACACCTTCTATCCTGAGTAGCATGCTGTCTGCGCCCCTTACAAATCTCTCTATTATATGACAGCATCTTGCTTCAACGTCTTTCTGAATTTAGCTCTGTGTAAAGTTAAAACCTTGTTCATTCACGTGTTTCCCTTGTTAATATCTGTCTCCCGTCTCTAGGCAGGAAGCTCCCTGGAATCAAGAATCTTGCTTGTCTTGTTCACTGCTGATCCCCAGGGCTCAAAATAGTAGCTGGCACAGAGTAGATCTTTCAGTAATAAATGAATACATTTATTGAGAGAAAGATTTCTGTTGAGTCTGTCACTCCCATTC